TTTAGTGCAAAATACATGCACGGAACAGCTTGAAAACACGTACGTTTCGTTTTGAAGTAACAAACATGGACGCCGCTTGTTCGGTGAAGTTTCATTGCCCGATAGGGCAGGAAACTGCGAACCCTCCCTCCTTATATTCTAACCTTTTTGGTCACTGCCAAGGTCCTACCCTAAGGCTCCTCTAAACCAGGCTGAATCACCAACGTTTCTCTCTTGGCGAGGGAGTGAACGCGCTGCCAATTTTGGCGCGTTTATCGCACACGCTGGCTGAATGTCTGCTGTTTTTTTAAAGATTTATTTTATAGACGCGCGGTATTCAGCGCATATAAACTTTTTGGATAATTTATTAATTCTCGAATAGTATATAGACGTTTTCACTTAAATAAAAATTTCGCGTATATTTTTGTAAACATATTCAAAATAACTTATTCTTTAGATGTTTCAGTTTCGTTAGCAGACTATAATAAATAAGATATGAATAAAACTTTCAATAGTGTCAAATGGGGAAATAGTTAAAGCGTAGAGTGTGCAAATAAATTTATCTTAATGACATTTTAACAAAAATTTCCATAAAAACACTGTAAATTCATACTAAAAAAATAACTTAAGAATATGTTGTCATTTAAGTCTGAGGTACATGGAAATAATTGTGCAAGATTCTGAAGAAACACTTTCTTTTAAATGTGTGAAATATTTCATAACATAATATGGAAGAAGAAAGTACAGCATTCTGTGTTTTGGATGCTTTTCATCAAATGTAATATAAATACGAACTAGAAACCGTAATAAAAAGTCCTTCCTCTTCAATCAGATCACCTTTGTATTTGTAATACTTCTAAAAATCCAGTTTTTACCTAAATTAAAAAAACAGTTATTCCATAAAAGATAATAACTTTGAACGTATATAGAATGAATTTTGTAATTTGAGTTATGTTACAAAATAATTCATAGTTTATATATTTTATACTAATAATTTAGATAAAACCTGTCCAATTTAAGAATGTGTGTTAACCACATTCTTAAATTGTAAAAGGACGACTTAACCACATGTAATTCATTTCAAAGCATAAAAGAAAGCTTATTTTTTATTTTACACAGCAACAGCATTTTCATGCAGTCAAGTTTTTTTAACTGCTAGTTATTATACATAATACTTAATTTTAAACCAATTCTTATTAGAAAGCATAACTAAGAAACTTCTTTTTAAAGCACCACAGTGATTGCAAAGAATGTCGTTAAATTTACAAAAGTATTGAAGATATATTTAACAGCATTATAACAAGAAAGTACTGTACAAAATATGTAAATTTAGCATAACTTCTTTTTTAGTATTTGCATAGTTTCCTCCAAATGAACCTTAATGGGAAGTTATCTTGCGAAAATTTAAAAGTATTAAAATGGCCTCTATTTAAGATGTAACTGCATTTATAATTATTTTGTAAATTGCGAATAGATTATATTATTGCAATTAGATTATGCACTTACAACATAATTGCATAAAGTAATGAAATTAAGAGTTCACAGATACAATGTAATATAATTACAATGCAATTACCTAAATTGTAATTATAATCACTTATTTCAATACCACAATATTATTTACAATCACAATGTAATTTAAATTGGGTACTATATTTGCATACCCTCCACTCAAAAGGAGGTACTGATAAGCCTGGAAGTTATTATCAACAAAAAGCCTGTTCAGGACAGTTTGATGACAATTTCCACCGGGCGAAAAGTACATTCTTAAGCCCAGGCAAATCATGACAATAAAAATCATTTAGTCTTATGATTCACTATATTTTAAACCCTAAATTTGAATTCTGCTGCACCAAATTATTTACCTATATTTTAACATACTTTATGAATTATTAGAAGCGATATGGCAAATATCTTCTAAAAATAACTGTAAAATATTTGTATCCATTAATTGATTCAGATACACACTTTTATTATTTAAGTATATCAAAATAACAGTTTCATGTTCCTGAAATACAAAAATTATGGAAAAAAGTTAAAGTAATATTCTTAGAAGCATATGATATTAGTCACCAGATGCAAATTATAGTTAATTTTTTGCCCTAAATACAATTTTATTACACAGTAGTCAAATGTGTAACTTAATAACATGTTATATAAAAAATTAATGATAATAAGTTTATCAGAAATGAATTAATTCTGCAAATAAACTTTCTGCACTTGAAAATTTTCTACACCTGAGGGGAGGGAGAGATCTAGTAAAATTAGATTTATTATAACTTCAGTTGGACCAAACACCTTCTCTCTATATATATGCATCACTAAAGAAATAAATAAAATTATCATGCTTAAAAAACAGATATACCAACCATACCAGTTTTTTTCCCCCTTGTTACACTTTACATTGAGAAATAACAAACCGTACAACACTGAAAAATACTATCCTTGAAATTTTGTTTTTAAATGAAGAAACACACAACCATCTTTTTATTTAAGCATTACACTTCAAAAACAGATACACATACCAATTTATTTTCACTAGCCTTTATACTGATAACATGCCATATAAAAATGAAAAGAATTATCCTTGAAATTTAGATAAAATGAAGTAACACAATGGGAAAATTTATGCACACGGACATCTTTTTTCTATTGCATGTTGTCTGACATGATCCACAAGTGCCTAAAAATGTACCCAAAGAAACGCATTTCAATATTAACAAAAAATTGTTTACAGATTAAAATTCATTCATTTCATACCAGTATTATAAAGATCATGCATGAAACAAATCTGCTTTCCCATACTTTTAAGTAAAACTTTTATACTGGAAAATAGACTATATTTCTATAATTAGAAACAAGAAAATACTAATTTGAATGTTCTGCATTCATTTCTAAATCTTTACTCCATTGCCAAATTGTATAATACTGTGATTATAAATAAACTTGCACAATCCTTGCAATTATTGAAGTCAGATTATATATATTTTGTCTCACACTATTCAATTTATTCTATTGACTTCAGATGTCAATGTCAAAATTCTGGAAGTTATTTTAACCAAGAAACAGTAGTGGGCACCGTGCATAAACAACTCATCTAACTTTTTAACAATAGTGATTATAAAATAAAGAAAAAATTATATATCATTCCAACGATATTGCAACTATAGTATAATGTTACATATATCTTTAGCAAACATTCAGATTTTTATCTTGACTTTCCAAATTATTATTTTTTTAATAAATTTCAATATGCTAATGATTTTCATGTTACATTAGTATAAATTCCACAATTAGCACAGGAAAACAAAATCCGCGCTTTATATTAGAAGAGAAATTTCTTTTCCATATTCAAAACATCTACATTGGCGATGTTTGGCGACGGGTACATTAACCCTAGACTAATTTAATTATAGCTATTATTACAGAAATTAGCAGATACTCAGGTTATTGTACACAAGAATTTCACTTTACTTGCACATTATAAACATCAGAGAAGATATAAACTCTAAATGAAGGCGTAATTAACATTATACTTACTAAGCAAAGTTCAGCGCCTGGACCAGGTTTCCAATTGTCTCTTCGGCAATTATTTACCCATATTTTTCTTCTTTCTTCATTTTTAGGAAATTTTACCAATGTATGACCTTTCCGTGAATGATTTGAACAATTAATAGCTGTACATCCGCCCATTTTACACAAAAAAAAAAAAAAAAAAAAACACAAAAAATTGTTGCACCTTAACCACTCAGCCGCCGTTAAATCTCCCACTTGGGAGCGCGAATGCCTGATGATTCAGCCTGGTTTATAGGAGCCTTATCCTCCTACCCCAAGGTAGGTAGAAAGAAGGTTCTTTCTACGTACCTTGGGTCACTGCAACAACAGATGCTGACCATTTACGGAAGTTAGCGGTGTCATGTGACTGGTGGCAATGAAATGTGGCTTTTTTCACTATGTATATTTTTGATTATTTAATCTAAAATAATCCTTCTATAATATGATGGGGAAAAAACCTACGGATGGGAAAAAATTACTTACTTATTTGTATGTATCCATATATATTGCTGTTTTTGATAGCATTAAGAGCTCTTGTTGATGTTAAAATGAAATCTAGCAATTCTGCTGAATTCTGCTTTTCATGAAAGTGCCAGAATATTTTAATGTGACTATTAAAGTATCTTTACTAAAGGAAAAAAGTAGGCTAGAGATATAAAGTATTAATCCTAGTATACGGTACATGAACAGTTCTATACTTTATAGCACACACGGGATTTAGCGACATTATGATGATCAGTAAATGTGGTGTTTATGATGAGCAGTAAATGAGTCATGTTACTAGAATTTTACCGGAGGGGAAGAACAAAAAGGTGTACAGACAGAACAGTCAAAATTCTCCCGATTTCGTTTACAAAGATCTTTCCCAGCTGCGCATTACCCAGAGCCAACTAGATATATCTAGTTGGCCTTATTTTGACTGGCAGGGAAGTGTTTCAATTGACTATGAAAAAACACTCGTTTTCAAAAGTGATCACTAATGCTGGATGTAACGATCAATATCTGAGTGATCATCGGTGTTTCAATTGAATGAGGCCTTTGAATAGGAAAAATTAATCGTTTTCAAAAATGACCGTTAATGTTGGATGTAGCGATCATCATTTCAACGATCATCGGTGTTTCAATTCAATGAGGTCTTTAGCCTCTGGAAAATAACGAAAATGAACTTCATAATCAAGTAAATTCACATACAAATATCTAATCATAGAATACTCAATTACGAGTATTTTCATCTTTTTAGACAAAGACGTAACTATAAAAAATAAAATGTTTAACACAGTATCAGCGTTAATACTACGTACATAGCTACCATGTACGTACAATTGGCTTCATTATTCAGTTTTGGCGCAAAACCTCCTAGCATGGAAGTTAGAATAGCCTAACCTCCATGTCTCCTAGCGCTGACGCGGCTCACATGACAGACGCTCATTTCCGTAAACTTTGCGAAATTGCGTAACCTAGTAACGTGTTCCTCTTCTTTTAGGCGTGAAATTATTTCATTCTTTTAGTTGATGAACGGAAATGGAAATGAATATCAATAGTAATGGAAGAAGAAAAAAATTGAGTGTTGTCAGAAAAATTTATATTCATTTAACATCTGCTTGCTGAAAAGTTATATAAAGAATGCTTTTGTATTTATCAAACCTTGCCAAATCACTTTTATACGCGAAACATTTTGATCTATTTGGCAACATATAGTGAATAACTTCTGTATCAGAGTCTTGTTTTGAATGTAAACAAATAACAAGGGAGAATTGTTGTTGGAGATGTTGAAGTATTAGAAGTGCCTAATCGGAGTATTACCATGATATATTATTTATTTAATATATGTAAGAATTTATAAAATTACTTTGAAATTCCATGCAGTTTTGTATCTTGAGTGAGTGGTCACTTATAATAATTTGAGGGTATAGCTTGACTAAGTCCTGATAGAGTTATCAGCATCAATCTTCATTTGGATAGATTAATAAACAAACGGACTGATTTGAGGACATGGACCTCTTTAAAATTTTCAGAGTTTTTATTTAAATAATCATTGAAAAGTTCAACGTTTTAATTGCATTTAAACCGATTTCTCTTACAAAATAAATTTGATTTCATTAACATAGATTCCCTAGATAAATACTTTGTTCGCTGAGCCCTTTTCTTTAATCGTATTTATGATTTTAATAAGAGATAAAAGTATGATATGAATTATATATGCTTTTAGTTCCATACTAAAATGAATAATTTTATGAATGATTTAAAATATTGAATAAAATTTCGTAGTTACATTTACGATTTATACTGAGCTTATGAGATCGAATTTTCATTAATAACCAATTCCATTGCATACTTTTAAAAACTGCCTAATCTAATAGTATATTTTTCGATTTTTCATTAGATTTTTTATAAATAAAATGTAGTTCTGTGCATTTAATTCATAAAAATAGGTAGTGCATGTGCTTTAGTAAATTAGGTAGTATTTGTTTGAAAATTTGATTTTAAACCAGAAATCCATGGAATAATTTAATATTATCTGATATTTCTTTCTTTTGATATGAATAATTTTAATGTGTCGTGTACACATGATTTAAGTATTTATCCATATGTAACAATTCAAATCATTAGTATTGAAATTCTAATTCTGAAAGCAAATTATTCAGTGAAACTGTTCTGTAATTTTTCCCAACTAGAGCAGGATCAGTAATATCCAATGATGATACTTGTATTACTTGTTTTGGTAGGAAAAAATAGAGATAGTGATATAAATTCTGATATAAGAATCTTTATTCAATTACTCGCATGCCTCACTAGTGGCAAATAGTTAAAATGGCTAAGTACTGGTAATTTGACCTGGTTATAAATTCGGGTGAATGGACTGGCTGCATGTTTGGTTTTTCTGATTTTTTCCACATGTATTGTACATATGAACCAGTTTCTCTTATACAGTCCTCCATGAAGGTGTCTTTTCCCATTTTTCACACATATTTTTTTCAGATATAGAAGGCAAATGCATTTAAAAGTTAAGAATATAAAATTTTACATTTTTATACTTCAAAATCAGATAAAAATGACGACAGATTGAAGATCTTTCGAGTTTTGAATAATATCAAAGTCTCTCATCTGATAAATACCCTCAAGTATTCAAAATCTTATCAGTTTATAGGATTTTTCAAGAACCTTCATTTGGATTTTTATATTTGGTCATTTGTAATAAAGTTATTAAAAGGTCGTTTTATAATAACAGTATTTTACTCGTAAAAATGCAGTTAATAATTAGAAAAGGATGAAGTTTCAAATATGTAAAGAACAAACTTTCATTGAGATATAAGTAGATTAATGCTTTATTAAAAAAATTAAGGGATTTGAAAAATTTATGTATTCTTAAATATTTCTTTGATTTAGTACAGTGTATAAAATTTAAAGAAAGAATTCAATTACACTGAAACATTACAGTCAATCAATTGAAAAATTAGTTATCTGGAAATGATTTATAGGCATATTAATAGCATAATGTGCAAAAGTTAAAAGACATGAAGGGCAGTTATTTGTTTTTTAATGCAAGGGATTACAATTTGAGAAAGATATATACTCACTTTGAAAAGTTATGAACGGAGAGGAAAATGCTAATTTCCAGAAGCCATTCAGAATTGAAATGGATGCAATTCGCTGCAGAGGTAGATGGAAGTATGCAAATATGTTAGGTAACAGCTAATCACACTTTCATGTCAAGAAATATGCAAAAAAGGCAGTCTTATAAGAAGCCAACTTTATGAAGGGTTACAGAAGTTGATTGTAAGGGCTGATAGAAGGTGTTTAAAACTTTTGTACAATTTCTTTTCAAGACATACGTGTTTCTATGACTTCCAGAAGACGAATGGAAGATTCTGAGCGCTGGCATGCCGTGGGGTGCATTGAAGCAGGACAGTTGATCACAGATGCTGCTCTTTTCTTCAGGGTTCATCATTCTGTAATTTCACGTGTATGGAAACAATTCCAAACCACACAGACAGTTATCCGAAGGCCCGTAGCCGGTTGCCCAAGGGTTACAACTCCCGCGGAAGATCTATGTATTGCTATTGTAGCCAAGCGAAATTGTGACCTCCACACATGTCACATCTATGGTTACAGCATCCATTGGTAAGGCGATATCTGCAGCTACTGTATGCTAAAGATTACATATGAGTGGACTGTATGCGTGGTTACCTCGAGTTTGTGTTCCTCTATCCATCCTATCAAGAGGGGCACGATTACAGTGGTGCCGGGAACATGTCAATTGGAATGTGTCTCGTTGGGGCGATGTCATGTTTACTGATGAGTCAAGATTTGCTGTGGAGCAGATGACAAGCATCTGATCACATTTGTTGTGGAGCCAGATGATATGGCGTGAACAATGAACACGCAGTCAGTCCCCAAACATCACGCATTCCAAGGCATGATGTTCATGTTTAACATTATGGTGTGGGCAGGGATTTTATTAGGATACCGCATTGACCTGCACATCTTTAAACAGGGTTCTTTGATGGCTGTCTGGTATCAAGATGAAGTTCTAGAACCCATTGTGAGATTGTACGCTGCAGTTGGCCCTACTTTTGTTTTAATGGACAATAATGCACGTCCCATAGAGCTGACATAATCGATGACTACCTTGAAGTGAGGGATTGCGCGTATGGCGTGGCCAGCATATTCACCCGACCTTAATCTCATTGAAAATATTTGGGAGGCTGATTAATCTTTGGATTATGGTAACTTGGCGATTTTTTGGCGACTAACCCTGCTACAGCAACCTGCTAGTTTTGTTTTGCACGCCATTTTGTTTTCACGAAGTAAAGGCATGTTTTTTTTTTCCTCAACATTTTTTCCAACAATCTGCTAGCCAAATTACGTTTATACTAGAACTTTTATGGAACAAAAAGTGCTTAAACATGACGAAGATTAGGTGCGAAATTGGGAGAAAGTGCAGAATCGCAAGCTGCTTCCCGCGTTTTTTAAGAATTGTACATTCACGATATCCATGTACATGTTGATCTATTTTCACTTAAAAAAACATCCCAGAATTGCACAAAAATGGCATTGCGCACACTCTTGACTTTATCCATGTACACCACTAAAGTTCTAGCTAGTAACCTTTATCGCCTTACCATAATGTCGCCAAACTACTTGTTACCATATTCCAAAGATTAGCCGGGAGGCTCTCGGCCGTGCTGTATCTTCACATTTCCCACCTCCAGCCACTCTTATTGAGCTGGGAAGTGCTCTACAAGAAGAATGGCGATTGCTTAATTCTGCTGTGGTTGACCACCTTATTGAAAGCATGGTCACAAGGTGTAAACTTTGTATACAAATGAGGGGAGATCACATACCCTATTAATGTCCTTTTTTTTCATTTTATGCTGTTTATTTTCACTTTATACATAATTCTGTTTAAGTCTCCAGTATGTCATTATCTGATAACTTACAAAAATTTAATATTGTTTTCATTCCTGTATATAATTATTCATTTTGTTTTATACATAAATATATATGCTACTTTCCTGCCAAATTTTGTGTCAATTCAAAGCAGTATTTGTTGATTTTTTTGTATTTTACATCTTCATGCTTAACTTTTGGAAGTGAGTGTATTACGGAATATATGAGTAAGGGAAATCATTTACAATGGTTAGGAAAATTAATACAATCCATATTTTTTTTTTATTCAGATGGGAAAAACATTTTGAAGTGACTTGAAATGTCATCTCATGGACTGAATCCCAAATTTATAGATCTTAAAATTCTTGAGCGACTTCAGTCTTCAGTTTCCGACTCAAATATACATAATGTCGATGATGTCTCTAGTGTTACTGGCAGTGGTGATTTAAAACAGGTATGTTCTGTGCTGAAAATAATTTTTAAGCATTACATCATAATTGCTATGTATTATATATTAGTTTCATTATATTTTTATGTAACGTAATAAAATTTTTTATGAATCATATTTCTATAACTATGTTTTTAAATTGACTTTTAATTCTAAATTAATAAAAGTCTGAAGTAGAAATTTTTAAAAAGAAAAATATAAGAATATGCTAGTTTCCTCTGACTAACCAAAATAAAAATTAAAAAAAACCCCTTAACATGGAATACTTTATCATTAAAACTTATGTCCTAAAACATGCAGTATTAAGACATGTACACATCATGTTAGTTTTGAATATAATTAATGCTTAATAAGGTATCAGCTTATGCATGCACATTTCATGTAATATTTTTAAATAAATCTCTCAAAAAATGTAGTGGTACTTTTCTGTTATTAGGATCAGATTCAGAAATATATGTATATATGCACATGTGTGCATGTTATATATGTACATAATGTGTGTATGTATATATGTACATGATGTGTGTATATACACAGATACATATGTACATACACACATGAATACATCCATCCATACATGCATACATTTCTGTACCAGAACAGTACCCATGTAAGGTTTTAAGATGTGTATTAGCTGCTGAAAATGTAGCAATATTACCATAAAGAAAAGTTGAGAAATATTTAAGTATTTCACATTATAGTTTCTTAGTTATTGTGTGGCACATCTGTCTAAATATAATTTTTTATGCATTTTTTCAGTCTTTATCACTGACTACATTTATTTGTTTTTGACTGTTTTATAATTCATAATATAGAGCACTTTTTCTTTCTCTCTCTCTTTTTTTTTAAATTTTTATTCAGTTCTTGGAGTATTTAGAATTTTATATCACTGGAAGAAGTTGTGAATCTTTTGAAAGAATATGTGAAAAATAGTTTTAATGTAATATCATTAATGTTATAGCATGAAGAAAGTGATCTGTGATTTATAAAATAAAATTTAATTTTTTAAATTTAAATTATACTTTTAGTTCAGAAATCTGTATAAATAATAGGGTACTTTTGCTCCTTTAGGAATTGGTTCCTTAAATTAATGCTAAAATAATAGAAGTTCAATTGAGTTGAGAACGAATGTGATTTTTTAAAAATAATCTATTATATATGTAAATTAATTTCTTTCTGATATGAAATGTGATTATTCATACTTGTATATTTAGGATTTACAAAATGATACAGATGTCTATATTATCTACTTACAACAGAGCAACATTTTATTTTATTATGAAAAAAATTAAACATATGCATTTAACAATGAGTGTGCATGATATTGTATTTCATACATGAAATTTGGCCTGATGAATTTGCCAATCAGTTATAGTAAACAACTAGTGTAATTAAAATAATTTATTGTTTATACATTTTTAGAAGTTAATTTCATTTAAGGCCTTGGAACTACTCTTATATATGCCCTCAGGTCGCCAAATATTTTTGGCGAGAAACTCCACAAACTATTACTATCTAAATTTTTGTCTACATTTCAAACTTTAAGCCTAAAATGTCTCCAAAAACACGGTTTTCGCACATGCAAAAACCACGTTTTGAACACAGAAATTAAGCTAAAAATCCAAAACAAAAACTTTAGATGGCAAAAACGTAAAGTTTTTAACCAAAAGATATTTGACAAGAATCCATGTACACGGCGATATGTTTCAACTTAAAAAAAAAAAAAAATCTACGAATTGCACAATCTAGGCAGCGAAAGAATCTATGAACTACGTACACCTCACTTTAATAAATTAACATAACAACAATAAATTTCAAAGAATACCATGTACACAGCATTCTTTTTAAACTCAAAGAAACATCTACGAATTGCACAATCTAAGCATTGCGCACAAATCAACAAAATAAACTAAAATAAATTACAAACAATTCAAATAACGGCAGAAATTCCTAGTAAAAAAACAATGAACATAACATTCTATAAAATGAAAACAATAAAATAAGATGCACTTACCATAATACATATGTGAATAAAATTTCACCAATCACACAACGTCTGTGAATAAAAGTGCCACGATTTTGCTATATCACATGTCTTTCTGCGATTAAAAATTTCGAAAGTAACAATAAAAACTTCCTTCAAAGTTAACTTAATACATGAAAACCATGATCCAAATCTTAAACTCTACTGACAGCCACATACTTTACCAGCAACCATTTGACTGCAAACCCACACAAGTCTATCAGAAATACCATTCTTCATCCGAGTTCTCATATCAGCTCCGCATTTTGGACACGCCAAACTTCATTTTAAAAGTCCTGACTCCCACAGAAATTCCAAAAATATACTTCTATCCACATAAACACACCCGTGAACAAAAGACTCGTTAACAACTCTAACATCGTACCTTCTAATACTAAATTTACTTTGCGCACAATCTAAAATATGCGACCGAAATCTTGCCAGCACGTCTCTCGTTGCAACATTCAAAACACGCATGACACGAACCAACGAGCAATTAAGCCACTGCAGCAAAAGAGTTAAGTTTCAACATCAAAAGGTTTGCCATACAAACAGCATCATCCACCAAACCATCCCACAGCACGAAATTGTGCCAAACGCCAGCACAGAACACATATCACCACATTTGGTGATCTTAGGGCGTATAAAAGAGCCAAGGCCTCTACAACAAACTAAGGTAATTTTGCATTAATGAAAGTATATTACTAGAAGTTATCAAATTTTTAAAATTTGCTGAACTGTGGCAATCAAGTGCATAAATTGTGAGTTTTAACAAAAACATTGCCAGCTTCATATGTGTTCAAGTACTTTAAACTATTCTCAAAGTGATCACCATCAAATTTCTAACAAAAACCTGTTGGTAAGCTTATTGATTGATGTTCAAAATAAACACTTAATTAAAATATAAAATATGTACATATGTAATGAGTATTTATTTATTTATTTATTATTTTGATAGTAAAAAGTCATCAAACAGAACCAAAGTAGTTATGCTAATACATAGTACCCAAACTAATATATCAGATAAAATAATTAAATTAGGTAATGACGGTGTATGTTTAATGCTACAGCTGAATTCATGTGACTAATTTTGATTTTAAATCTAAATTGTGCCAAATAATTGTATAATTATAAAAATTTAGATTCTGACAGCATGCATACTTGAAGATAGGCTTTAAATTTATGTAAAATTCATCATCAGATTAACATTGCTTATATTCAGGAACTCTGTGCATTTGAGAATGTTTAATATAAGCTCTTCTTCAAACAGGAAAGGTACTCTGCAGAATAATTTATTATTTGGCAGATTCTTCTTCCTCATTTACAAAGTCTTTAGTTTTTGCCTAAAATTCCAGATAACAAGTTTCACTTCTAGTTATTTCTATGATATTCTGGTTTAATGAAATTCTTTGTTTTTAATAATAATTTACAGAAGTTTTATTTGTGATTCTATCTTACAAATACAGGGGTGTTTGTGCTCCGGGGAAACCCCAGAATTCCGGGGATTTTGAACTTTGATACCCGGAAATTCCGGGAATCGTCGTTCAAAAGGAAGTAGGAATAATAATGAATTATTTATTTTGATCTGGGTAATTTTGTTTGCTTTGAAAGCAGAAAACGCAAGGTCAGTGTGTGTGGTGAAAACTTTTCCTTTCTTTCTCCAAAGGCAGTGATAATGCGTGAAAAGGGGGAAAAACTTCTTTTTGTTCTTTCCTTATTGCGAGTTATGACTCATTCCCCCGGTTCTCGGACATTCTCTTCTGGATTCTTTTCGGCAAGTAGGCGCGGCAGAAAAAAAAGGGAGAGACTTCGTTCGACCAAATGTGCGATCACGTGACTCTGGGCTCAAAGGTCTTACCTCTCCTGGCGTGGCGCCAATAAGTAGAGAAAGGGGATTTTTTTCGCCGTATTAGCTATTTGTCATTGATCGCTTCTCAACTTTTTTTTCTCCGCTGTGTAAAATTTTCGTTTCATTTATTGATGCACGTGTAAATTTTTCGTTTCGTTTATTGAAATATTTTTTTATTTATGTACGCAAGAGAATTTCACTATGAAATTTCTCGATATAAATAGTGATATTATACAATTAGAAGAAGGTGTCCGGAATGCATTTAGGTGGAATTGGATTGAACGGAGAGATGGTAATGGGGATACCATCGGCACATGGTGCAAGAAAATAAATGTTGCTGGACAAGCATATTGTGTTTTTTTTGTAACTCACTGCTGAAGTATGGTGGGGAAGGATTCAAGGCTTTCACAAATCATTCTAAAACTGTGACGCACATAAAATATTCAAAGTGCATTAGACATTCAATGACTTTAAGTAATTATGCTAATTCAAAAAATACTGATGACTTACTGGAGACTGATGCTCGGCCATTGGATATAGTGACAAGAAAAGCACGCCAAGAGGTATTAATAACTTCGTTTATCGCCGAGAATTCTCTTTCTTTCTTTCAATGTAGCTCCCAATTTAATTGAACTCTGCAAACAGTTGAGCCGCGATCAGACGGCACTAAACTCGTTGGAAATGTCCAGGACTACTGCATGTTATAAGATGAAATATGGGCTCGCAAAAAACTATTAAGGAAAATATCATTAAAACTTTAAAGGAGACTCCATTTTCTCTAAATTTGGATGAAAGTACTAGCAATGCTCAAGAAAGTATACTGGCAATATTGGTGCAGTTTTATGACAACAATCAAAATGAAGTTGTAGTTCATCATTTTGCATCTCTAAAGATGGAATCTTGCAATTCAGAAGCTGTTTTTAAAGCAGTTGTTAATACTATTGAAGATAATAATATTCCATGGGCAAACTTAATTAGTGTATTAATGGACTCATGTAACACCATGCGTGGAAAAAAAAAAGGGTGTTGAAACCAGACTACGATCAAACAAAGCACCCCACTTATTAGATATTGATGGTGACACATGTCACACAGCTAATAACTGTGCAAAAAAATTTGCTTCATGTTTTGATA